TGCTTTTAGCAAGTTAACCGCATCTGTGGATTCTCAATGAAATTCACTTTCGTCTGTTCAGCTAGCTAGCCATCCAGCTAGCTGGGCAGCTAGCTATCTGGGTAGCTAGCTAGGTCTATTTCTGTCTAGGTAGCTAGCTAGCTAGCTGTCGTTCTGTATATGTAGCTAGCTAGCTGTCTTTCCGGCTAGGTGGCTAGCTAGCTAGCCGTTCCATGCCTCCAAGTTGACAGAGCATACAGCTAGCTAGCGAGGACATCGCCTGCTTAGCTAGCTAGCTAGCTAGCTAGCTAGCTACCTGCTTAGCTAGCTAGCTAGCTAGCTAGCCAGCCAGGCATTCAAATGTCTAGACAGCTAGCCAGCCATTCAGCTAGCTATCCAGCTAGCCAACTATCCAGAAGGTGAGCTAGCTAGCCAGCTAGCTAGCTATAGCTTTGCTCGCTTCGCTGCAGCTAGCTGGCTAGCTGTACTTCTGCTTCTGGCTGCAGCTAAACCCTAAACCCTAAACCCTAAACCCTAAACCCTAAACCCTAAACCCCAACTGTAAGGATATAGCCAATACTTATGCAGCAATTAGGGTCTGACGAACGCAATAGCAGCAACCGCTTGCAGGTGCTGCAGCAGCAGCTGTTGCTGCTGCTCTTGCTGCTGCCTGCTGCTGCTGCTGCTGTTGAAGCCGGTAAGCTGCAGCAGCAGCAAATGTTTATAACTAAGCAGAGGCAGCAGCAGCAACTCAAGACCAACGAGTTCAGTAGCTGCAGCAGCAGCAGCAGCAGCAGCAGCAGCAACAGCAGCAACAGCAGCAAGAAAGGTGACAAACCTGCAGCAGAGAGCAGACGGATGCCGCCGCTACCCACCGCGAGGGTTTAGGGTTTAGGGTTTAGGGTTTAGGGTTTATGCGGTGAGTTGGTTCTTTGCATGTGAGTGTGGCCTTGGAATGATGACATTTTGTCTGTCTGCAGCCGCAGCAGCAGCAGCAGCAGCAGCAGCAGCTGCAGCAGCAGCAGCAGCAGCAGCAGCAGCAGCAGGAGGAGACAGGGGAGCAGCAGGAGAATATGAATAGAGAGCCCTTCTCTCGTCAGCAACCATAAACCCTTTCTGCAGGCCGATGAGGGTTGCTCTCAGGTTTGTTATGCGGCGTTCTATATCCAGCTCCATTGGATCCAGTCTGCTGCTGCTGCTGCTGCTGCTGCTGCTGCTGCTGCTGCTGCTGCTGCTGCTGCGGTTGCTGCGG